TTAGTTATTGGTTGCAAACGGTAGATTTAGGTTAACCAAAATCATTTTGTTGATTATCTCTAAGACGACTAGAGAGATGGAAAGGGAAGGGGGTTTTTAGGGGGAAAAGAAAAAGTCTTTAGAATTTGATTGGTATTTTAAGAACGAAAACTTTTGTTACTGCAAATTACGCAGACTAAACTAAGTGCTGTAGTTTATGTATCTATTGAAAAGCCGTGTCAGCGTAATGATTTTTGAAGAAACGTTCAAGTTAATGGTACAGGATCTGTTTTATTCTCATCCAATTAATATCTAAATTTCAATCTTTGGGCCTGCTGCCGTTAGAATTTTAATGTTGTTCACGGAAAAAAGCGAAGGTAGTTCGGTGAATCTACGCTGCGTATCGGTAGTGCAATGCAACTCCGAAAGGCATTTAATTCATTTACATTATGGGGGGAGCAATATAAAAAAAAAAAGGAAAAAAAAAGAAGAAAAAGAAGAAACTCGCAAAAAGGATGATCAGATGTGACGACGATCTCGTAGTATTGCTGCTCGTCCACGAGGTTAGATTCTGCAGTGGGTGCCTTTGGTCAAAACTGTTTACAACGTTGCTGCGTTGGGAATACTCGATTAGGAGGACGCTAATCTACAGGCTTTCGTATCCTGCTTGACCTTCTCAGTTCTCCTGTACTCTGAAGCACCAGGTTTTCAAGGTTTTTTTGGCAGTTTTATTGTCGATCTATCGATTGGTTTGTTTTTTCATTTAAAATTAATTTGAAAAAAAAAAAAAAAGAGGCAAGAAAGAATTTTTCAGCCTATTGTTTCATTTTCTTTGATCATAATGGTATAACTTCATTGTTGTTTGCTGCAAGCACCAAGCGTTCCCCTCTCATCCCCTCCCACTCCTTCTAAAAAAAGAAGAAAAAATTCTACATTTTTTGCTGTTGTATAATTTTTTGACGATTTTTTGTCCACATCCTCGCATTATAAATCTACCTAGAGTTTGAAGGAACTTTTGGCTCTTTAGGAATCGATGGAAAGAGAAGAGAAGAAACGTAGGTTTTTGCTAAGTTATCTGGCGGGATTCTGGCATTTACCTGCTAATAAAGTTGATCTATTATCTTTCGGTTGATCGGATTACGTCCCTAATAGTTTATTGACTTTAAGATTATGGTTCGAGGTTAAAGGAGGGGGTTTGTAACTGTAATTTGATTTGCTTAGGTGTCACTTTTCATGTTTATCTTTTGCTGTCTTATCAGTATATATCACATAAATATATGTATTATACACATATTTATTTGATAACCTTTCATTTCTCTCACTCAAAAAATTTGTTCTAGATGAGGTTTGTTTTTTTTTTCTGCAAGTTCATATTTTATATCAGTGAAATTCTCTGGTTCCCTCCCCTTTTCCCGTCTCCCCCGCCCCATACTATCCACCCGATTTTGTTGTTATTATTCAATGGTGTTTTGTTGTTTGTGGACCAAAGTTATGAAGAAAATTTCTTTTTCAGAAACTGTGCCGCAATATTGATGTGGAGTAAGAAGATGGTTGTTTACTTCCTCGTCTTCTACTTTCCTATTAAATTAACGTTTTGTTGATTCTTTTGTTCTATTATCAATAAAGATATCTGTGATTCTCGCCGCGCAATTTTCGTTTTGATTTTGGAGATTATGCCGTAAAAATAAGTAGAATATGAAATTTGGTTTAAAAAAAAAAAGATTTCTAGACATTGTTTGTAATAACAGTTTCATTAAAATTCAGGTTAATTTTAACTGTCACTTTACAGCTTTTTAATCCTAAGAGGGGTAACATTCGATGTTGTTCTTCCGAATACATTCAGTTTTAACCTTTGACGGTTGGTCATTCTCTCATCTCAACTTCTCTTTTTCTCTCGTCCCTCTCTCTCTCTCATCTTCTCTAAACAACAGCCTTCTTTGCAGCTTGCAACTGCAACATTAAACGGAAATGCAAAAAAAGTCGGCACTGTTGTTTTGGATTTGGTTGATATCGCGCTGGTGGCTTGGGCACCTTAACCGACGCCAAAAATTAAATTTCTTCATCTCACTTATCGCTTTTGTGGAGGACAATGCATTTTTTCGTTTTTGTTTGTATTTGGAGTAGAGTTTTTTTTTCTTTGACAGTAACCGACATTTGACTACATTACCAAACTTTGCAGTGCCTTCACGTTTTTCTGTTGTTTATTTGTTTGTCTGTATGCACCTGCAAAGTTCAAATTTTTTCCTTATGGACAAAGAAGTATGAAGTAAATTAATAAAAATGGTTTAATTGTTGCAGGAGTTAGTTTCTTTTCGGGTGGGAGTTAAGAGGAGGGATGGACAGGAGGGGACAACAGGACATACCTTTATTGTGCAAAAAAGTATCTTTGTTGTCGAATAAGTTATAATTTTTTGAATGAATTGAGAAAACAAGGCAGGTGACGTTTTCGTATTGGACACCATAAAGTATTTGACCTAATTTTGTTAAAGGTACGGCCAAAGTAGAATTACAAGTGCCATTTCAAGGATTCTATTCTGAGTGTAAATTTCATAAGAAAATTTGGATTGTTGCGCATTTTGTTGCACAGCAGTTTTATTCCCCCTCCCCTCCCCTCTCTGTCTCTTTCCTTCACCACAGATCCGAATCCGTCAACACTAAAGTTTGAAAAGCTTGGTTGTGTTAGTTGTTCAACCTGATTGATTTTAAGCCGCAAATATCTTTGGCGCTTTGATTTTTGATTGCTAAACAAATACGTGGATGCAGTGGATGAGGTAACATCGGGATTTTTGAATTTTGGTCCTTCGTTTCCGTTTTTCCCATCAGCAACACAACATTTTTCTGCCGGTTGAAAATATCATTTTGCTTCTGCTAATTATTCCAGATGCTTGACCAAGTTTAATGACAGCGTCTTTGGTGTGTAAGTTTGAAGAATTATTTTTTGTTGTCGCTGTCACTATTGTCTCTGTTTAGGTTGATTTAGTAATTTAGGTGTTGATTATCTTTGGTGGTTCCTCTGAAGATCATGTTGTCGATATTTTATAGGGGTTGACCAAAAAAAAATTTTCATTTTGTGTGTTATATAAAACGTAACCACTGCAGTATCTGTGCCTTGTAGTATCAACCTTTTCCAAAAAAAAAAATTGTGTTTTATTCAAGAAAATTTCACTTTATTTATTTTCTTAGAATTAATGAATTAAAAGCAGATAGAAGAGGACAATAACGGAGCCAAAAATTAGGTACAACAACAGTGAATAAGTTTAGGTGAAAAATTCCGGATGATTGTTGCTGTTGTTGTTTCCTGGCAGACAAATTGTTTTGTCAAAGATCTTTTCAGGTTTTCCCGATTTTTTTTTGCCCAAAACTTTTTTAGTGAAGAAAATCAGATCTGTTTTTTCTTTTTTTTTGTTGACAAAAAAAAAGAGAATTTAGTGACTATGCAGAGTTTGTTATTTGATGTCGTTAACAAACATTTAGTATACATGCCAGGGCAAAATTGCTGTGATATAAGAAACAGATTTGGTGATAGGACGATCACCTTGGTATCATTGATGTTGATCAACTTAGCTTTAACTGTTACTTTGGAGTTACATGTTCGATTTTCTGATATGGGCCATCTTGTTACCGGTGTTCATTTGGTTGTTTTGGGTTTTTCATCTTATTTGTTGCATTTTGCAGTCGTAACTTTATTCAGTTTAATAGAGGCAAAGAAGGGAGTCTTTTTCCATTGTCTGTCTTACAGTTGATGTGCAATCTGTCCCGGGCATAGATGAATAAGCTACAAGATGAAAGTCACACTGTTGCAATACGTCCCTTAATTTTTCTTCTTAACAGTTTAACGGTAATTTTCAGTCTTCATTAATTATTTATTCGCCTTTATCTGATAGGCAACTTATTCTGATATACATCCGAAAAAATAATCGTTTTCTTGCTGCTATAACATTTATGCTTAAATGATTTTGTTTTTGAAAAACAATTAATGCGAAGTTGGCGTAATTTTTTTTTTTTCTTTCATTTTTATAGAAACCAGAAGAAGAGTGGAGGAGGAAAGTGATTTAGAAGAGGATTTTCATTGTTACTTTATTTCCGTTCATTTAATAATAATTGCTAAGGAAAGACAGAGAGAGAGAGAAAAAAAAAAAATTGAAGTTGTTTGGTTGATTTGTTGCTGAAAACTGTTCTTTTGAAGATGATAAAGGTTTTAGGATTTTTAGAAGATGACAGTTTTTTGGCATATGGAGAGGGGTCTTTTACACCCATCCGAAACAACACACTTTCATCCCCCTTCCCCTGCAAAGCCATACGAAGTTGATATTGTCAACAAGTAATTTGTGATTGAAGTTTGATCGTTTTTAGTTTTGTTGTTGTTATTTTCCTTTTTTTTTGTGCTACAAACAAGATAGAAACAAGTTTCGATTTTGAAGTTTTTTACAGGTTTTGAGGGTAAGGGAACCAATCTAATGGTTATTGTTAGTCGTTTATTTTCAGTTTGCATGATCATAACTTTTTAAAGTGATGTAAAAGAAGAAAAAAATTACAAATCATCACAAAAATCTGCCAGCTTTTTTAAGCGATTTATTTCAAAAATAAGGCAGCTTTTTTTTCAGAACACAACAATTAAACCCTATTTTGTAATTTGTCTTCTGTTGCTAGGCACTAGGACTTTTCTTTTATGGATGGTAAAGAGATCTTAGTGCATTGGCTGACCAATCTGAGAAGTGCTGAATTTTTTAAAGCTGTTTAGCGATGATGAGAAATGTAAAATTTCATGTTTTCAACGAGTATAGTGTTTTTAGTGAGCTTATATTTTGTGTATTTGCATGTTTTATGTATGTCTGATGGGGCAGCAACTAAGAAAAAACTATCAATTTAAGTCCGGTCACAATTTGTGACAACGATTTATTCTATCCCGTTATCGTTCTGTAACCATGTGTTTTAGCAGATGCGATGGTGGTAATGATGATGTTGCTAATGCTATTGTTGTTGATTTGAAGTTATATTGAACAGTTGGAAAAGTTAAATGAATGTTAACTAAATTTGGCCTGCTCAATCTCAGTCAGGTCCTAAAAATAGCTAGTCGCTTTATAGAGTTAAGAAATGCTCATGACGTTAGTGTATCTGTTGTTATCTTGAATGTTTCAAATTTATTTGGTTGGTCAGTAAGTAGCTCATCACTTTGGGTTTTGATATTTCCATATTAATCCTCGTCTTTCTTTATGTTTTCATTTTTCTCGTCTTACATTTTTAGTCGATGTTGATGGACAACGAGTGAGTGAAGAAACTCCATCATCAGCTGGTACGCAAATGCGAGCTGTCAGTGTCGTTGTTGTTGTTCAGTACTAGATGGTTTACAGAATAGATTGGTCAGGAAAGCTGCAGTTTTCAACTGTTAACCAATGCAATGGCAACTGTTGTTGCAGGTACAGTGTTAGAACAGTGTCAGGGGACAAATAGTACTCCAAGTCCAGTGGCGGTAATTCATATTTGCTTGGGTGCGTTGTCTAACCGATTTAGTGATAAGTTCTGCAAGTGCACCAAGGATTTGGGCTTCTGTCTGGTGGTCGATACACTTTGCTGTTTTTGTTATTGTTATTTTTTTTGCTCTTGTTGTTGTGGCTGCTATTGTTGTCTCTGTTGCTGTTTGCTGTTATTATTGCTGTAGCTGTAGCTGCTGCTGTAGCTGTTGCTGTTGTTGTTGTTGCTATTACTGTTGCTGTACCTGTTGTTGATGTTGTTGCTGTTGCTAGTGCTATTGCTGTTGATGTAGTTGTAGCTGTAGGTGCTGTTGTTGCTGCTACAGCTGCTGTTGTTAGTGTTGGGGACGGTGGTAATAGTGATGGCAGTTTACGCACAGAATTTGTGACAACTTTTGGCGAGGCTTCCTAACGATGGAAGCATCGACCAGGCAGGCTTAGGAGCGAAACACGGAAAGCCAAATCCAGGGAACGAAAATAATCAATATATCTTTTTGGACCAAATCAGCTACTTTTACTCGTTGTGGTTTGCACCAAGAAATGTTCGATTTTCTTTGTAATGCACTATTGTTGTGCAGTATACGATAACAGCTATAAAACGAAGGCAACTCAGCTTTATTAGCAATAATTACTGCAGGCCAGCGGGCCCCAAGCTGCCGGTGGAGAGTTTTTTGGGACTAGTTATAGTTTAATAGATGAAAGTTATCCTAGAGTAAGCAGCATAAAGCTCGACGATGTTGTCAGTGTAACGCCGATAGTGTGTTTTCTCATTGTTTATTGACCCTTCGTTTTTGTTTAAAGTTCCTGTTTTCGTATCGGTATATACCCTTTCTTCGAGTGCAATACGGAGTTTACTTCCATATTGCAGGCTTTTGCGTTTCGTTAACCCTAACAGCTTTCCTGTATGTATATAATGCACCTCATAAGCTGTGTGTATCGGCGTCAAAAAGAAGGAAAAAATACAACGATGTTTTTGTTGCTGCTATTATTATTGCTACTGAGGTACTGGGCAACATCAAAAGATGATAATGTGTTCAGTTTTTCAACCATTTATGATGCTTATAAGCTTCATTAAATGGATGATCATTAGTTGCTTTGTTTTTTCCTTTTTTTTTGTTTGTAAACGGGAATATGTTTAGTTCTTTGACGATCAGAAACAGTTTATCACTGTGGCAGTTAATAATAATGTTAAAGTTTGTTTTTTTCTTTGGTGTCTTGGAAGAACTAAAATTGTCATTGCGATTGGCTTTAAATCCGAAGCTTGTTGGTATGTTCATGCAGTAGAAAGAGAAATAGAGTTTTTTGTGTTATTTCCATCAAATATCACATTCTAATATCATTAAAAGATAAATCCTGTTTGGCCGCCTAAGGGTTCAATAATTTAACTGATTTGCTGCTATTTTTCAGTTTTTTTTCATCCAACTTCCTTAATTGTTTAAGGGTTTTTGGATTGCTGGTAACAGTGGTGGTGGCAGCGATGATAATGGTGATACCGATGGTGTCGATGGTGGTGGTAGTTATGATTATGGTGGTTAGAGTGTGCGCTCCATGTGAATTGGATTGAATGAATAACGGCAGTGTTATTTGAGCTCTAGTGATACGGGGTCTCTTAAGAAATTTAATCAAATATATATTATAAATATCTATGTGGATTCCAATTTTTACTTATTTTTTTTTCTATTTTTGGAGAATTTATCCATTTCTTGGCACCTTCCTACGTACAGTTGGTGTCAAAGCTCTCTGTTTGTGGATGTCTGTGTCTGTGTCTGTGTATGTGTGCGCGCGCGCGCGTCTATTCGTATTTATCTCGTATCTATCTATCCCAAAAATCAAACTCATCGGGGTTATTAGTTTAAAATTGAAAATGTATTTGTTAACTGTCAAAATGGACTACAAACAAACTTCGGCAATCTAAAGTCTTTCGTAAAAATTTTCTTTCATCAACACTTCGTTTTTTTTTTATTTTTTTTTTTTGTTTTAACAAAACTGTTGACATTTAGAAGATTGAAAAATGAATGAAAATTTGACGTTCTGTATAAGTAAACTTACCATTATTATTAGTATTACCTGTTATTGTAGTTTTTTCTCTATTTCTTTTTTTTTTTTCTGTTATTCACTCTAGGAAATTGCTTTTTCTCCCGCCCTCTCATATCACCGTAAGGAGGAAAGAAAAAGGGTTTTGAAAATGGAAATTGTTCAGCGCATATTGTGGAGGATATTTAGAAAGATTGAGGAGGAAACAAACGGGTTCCGCGATGTACTGTACTGCCAAAAACGTCATTAGACTATTATTTATCACCAAGCCACAAGAAAAGCATTAGATTTTCTCGACAAAAGCATTTGGCAACAAAAGTGCTCGGTTGCTTGGTTAATAAATTGCTATTCGAACAACGAGAGAGGTCGACCGCAGTACTGTTGATTCTGTTTCAGAATCCTCTAACGTAATTTTGCTGCTCTTTTGCTTTGACTCTACATTTTTAATAATTCCCATCCGACAATGATAAGTTTAAAAAAAAAAAAAAA